GGGGCTTCGGCGCCCGGGGCGCAAAGCAGGAGCGCAAAGTCTGCCCGAGGCGGCGACGGCTGCGATCGGGGCTCACCCGAGAGCGTCTAGGTGCCCGGGGCGGCCCAACTGCCTGGACCTTTCCTCTCCCTGGGGTGCGCCCCCAGCCTAAGGCGACCCGCTTAGACGTTGGGTGGGCGACTGGAGTACGGGTTTCTCCAAAGACAGCGAGCCGAGCCGAGCCACCGGGAGAATTGAAGAGGAGGAGGAGGAAGAGGAGGAGGAGGAGGTGCAGGAGGAGAAGGAGGAGGAGGTAGAGGAGGAGGAGAAAAAGGAGGAGGAGCAGAGTGGGAGGAGGAGTCGTCGGCCGCGGGCCCAGCCGCGCGCAATGCTCTCCAAGAGCGCGCCGAGCCCAGCCCCGGCTCTGCAGTCCGCGCCAGCCAAGCGTCCGCGCCTTTTCTACAGCCGCGCCTGACATCACGTCCTGCCGCCGCGCCATTGGCCGCCCGGCACCCCGGGCCCTGGCAGCGCGTGCTCCAAGAAGGCGGGAGACCCGAGAGGGAGGGGAGAAGCAAGAAGAAGAGAAGAGCCAGGAGTTGGTGGGAGCTGGTGGGCGAGGCTGGAAAGGAGGAGTGGGAGGGAGGAAAGGGGGAAGGGGGGGTTGGAGTTTTTAAGCTACGAACAGTTTCCTGTGATTTCTTCGGGAAGGAAAATTAAACCCTTTCTCCCGGCCGTCTCCATCCTGAAAAGGCTCAGCCACAGGATGCTTGAAGAGGTCTCACTCAGGTCCCCCCTCGTCCTGGAGCCGCCGCCTCGGGCACCGGCTGGAGAGGCCTGGGAAGGCAGGCCGGGGGCAGAGCTGCGGGAGCCCTCCGCTGCTTCCCGCCCAGCTTGGCCTTGGAGCCAGGCTCCGCGCCCGGCGGGCTGCCTGCAGCCACGCAGGCCTCCTGGGGACCCAGTCCAGCAAGAGAGGCAAGAGCTTGCTCGGGAACTGTGACTCCCGGGGAGGGGGCCAGCCAGCATATTCCCTCTCCAAGTGAGCCAGGGCCTGATTTCTCGCTCTTCCCAGTCTCTCTCCAGCCTGTAATTGGGTGCCCTCACATGCCTTGAGGAGCTAAGCATCGGTTCAAATCCAAGCTCTGCCATTTATACACAAATCTAACCTTAGGCAACTGACTTAACTCCCCTTTGCCTGTTCTGAGCTTTCCAGTGGGGCAACATCCTCGCACATGGGCGTGATGAAGTTAAGAGATCATGGATGTAAAATGCCTGGAACACAGGAGGCACTAAGCAAATTCTTTCATTGCTCCTTCTTAATTCTCTCCATGTCCTATTGAAAACTTTCCCACTCACAGATACATTAGGCGTCAGTAGATTCTTAAAGACCACAGGCCCATTCTCTGACCACTGGGTACATGTGCCATAAACCCAGCTGTTGACCAGGTCCATCCAGCCGCCTGGCTGCACCACTTCTCCAAGGACCAACAACCTGGCCTGTCAGCTAATCCCAACTGCTAATCCCAGTCCCCAGACTTCAAGCTCAACCCAGAGTCTCTTGGGGACTCCTTGAGGACGAGACCCAGGTGTGTGGTGAAGCTGAACTTAGAAAATAAAAAATGATTATAGAGGGAAAACTGAATGAGCAAGTCAATGACAGACTCTCGTCTCCTGGGTCTGCTTGGAGGCAGGTCAGTCTGAAGTGACTTACTCGCCAGGAGGAGGTAAGGGGCTAGCTGAGATCCATGAAGTTGATCTTACAGGGCAGAGTTGAGACAGCACAAAATCATACTTTCCACATACCATACATGACAGATGTATATATGTGCTCGTGATGCCCAGGCACTTGTGTTCATGTGTGCAAACGCACATGTTCCTCGCCATTAGCAAAAACCACAGCCAGCAGAAAGGTAGAGCTAGAGTCTGCCCGTTCACATCAAGGATAAGTAAGTGTCCAGTGCCAGGCAGGGGGAGGCATCTGGAAAGCGGGAAATTGCAGCTATACCTGTAATTACATGCTCAGGCGATTCTACCTAAATCCCTGCGTGCGGTTTCTAGGAGGCCATGTTTTGCGTATTTGCGAAAACTCTTGAAGTTACAAGAATATGTGTATACGCTGCACATGCACAGATGCCCCAACACGAGGTAACGACTATCAACCCAAAGATGCGCGTGCGCGTGTGTTCACAGAGCTGTGTGCTTTGGCTCCCGCACATGGCCCGCGCCCGGGCACGCGGACGCCTACACGGACGTGTTGTACTGACGCATCTGGGGCACTTTTTTTCAAAGAAAGTAGGGAATCAAAATCTAATCTGGGAGTCACCGGGGTTCATCTGGAGGTCGCCCAACGGGTAGAAAAAAAAATGTGACAAAGCTGGAGCGGTTGTCCTTGGTGCAGCTCAGCGCCCGGGCTGGATGGATGCAATACGTTTTTGAGAACTCGAGGGGCTGCCGCAGAAGCTGGGGGCGGGGGGAGGAGCACTCGTAACTGTTGCCGCCGGCTTCCCAAGAAACGTGGAAACACACCCTGCGGCTCTTCACTCCCCCCCCTCCATACTTGTAAGCACACGATTTCGTCGCCACCCCTCTGACCAGCAGCCCACACAGCGCTGACCGACCCCAAATTCCCTGGCAGTCAGGATCCTGCCGGACGCGCCCGACTGTTTATCTCTCGGTGTCAGGCTCGGATGCGCTCCGAGCTGCGAGAGGCTCAGCTCGAACGCATCTCCCGCCGCGGACAGGGATCTGGGTGCCCGGCCCCGGGTTTCAGAGTCCGGTAACTTTGCTAATCTCCCTCAGCGGCTGGGGGACATGACACAACCGCTGAGCCCCGTCCGCGGAGACGAAACGAGGAGAGGAACAGGCTGTAAACACACGTCCTGACACGTGAGTGACATTTACACGGTGCGAGGAGCCGCAGCCGAGGGGAAGGCAGGGGTGGGGGGAGCAGGCACCCGCAGGTAAAGGGAATGTTTGTTGGCGCCGGAAACGGCGGTCCCTCGACGCCCCTCCCCCAGAGAGGGGAAAAGAAGCCCGAAGTCCCTCGAACCTGCCTTTTGTGGGAGGTGACAGGTGAACTGAATTCAGGTTTGGCTACTCTCGCCGCTGCCTACCTCCCCACCATCTGCTTCCTCGCAGACAAGCAGACCCGGCGCATAATGAGGTAGCAGCCTCCAGCCGGCCACCGTGACTAACTCAGAACAAAAGCGCTCCCTCCACGCCTCTTCCAACAAAGGGGCCACCAGCCCCGGCGCTCCCCGAAGGCTGCGGGGCTCCCGGCTGCCGGCTGCGGGGCCGCGGCGCGCAAACTTCCCGGGGCTCTCGGGGCTGCCGGCGCCACCGTGCCGGGACCGCGGAGGGAGGAAGCACATGCCGCCCAGAGAAAGTGAGGCCGGGCCGGGCGGGGGAAGAAGGGGCGGGAGCCGGGGAGCCGCGGAAGGAGGGTGATTGATCAGTGCGCTGTTCCCGGAGCTCTGTCCCGTTATTAGAGGCGGCCAAAGCAGGGCCACGCCATAACCTCCGAATCGCCAACTAATTGACGCTGCAGGCAACTACTTCATTGTGCGTGCTGGTTTTATGTCTTCATAGCCGGTGATTGACAAGGTGTAATTAGTCATCTCACTCGGTGATAAACATGGGCACCCTCCTCCCGCGGCATCAGGCCGTGTGTACCAGCAGAGGAAGCGATAGTTGACGCTGATATACCATTAAATCAAAATGAAGACGTTCAGAAGTGTGTGTTTGCTGTGACGCTCTGATGGTTTATTTCTCAAATACGGCACCAACAGATTTACTTGATTTGCAAGTTAACTACAACATTAACTGGTTTTATTTATTTTGCCTCTTCCTTCCTTTTCCTAGGCAGGGATGTTGCTCTTGGAGAATGTGAAGACAGTTTGCTTCTTGACAAGCGAGCGAGCGGGCGCCCAGATTTTTGCAGCCTCTCCGGAGTCTCCCCCGAGGAAAAGGCAGGCAGAGAAACCACCAGATTTGGGAGCCACCAGGGGAGGATTCCGTACAGGGACTGCTGCTCTCCTTGGCCCCCAAGACCTGTCTGCCTTTGGGCACTGGCAATAGATGACCTGAAACTCTGAAGCTGGTGCTGCAGACTGGGGTTGGGGGAAGCCTCTTGGATAATAACTGCAAAGAAGAAAGAGGCAAAAACGACATTTCTTCCCTGCCTAGAAGCAGAAAGGACTGTTTTCTTTCAGCTGTTGGCTGCAGTCTCGGGGCCAGTTGCCGGCCTCGGTTCTGAGTGTAATGTCCTCTGTTCTCCGTGCTGCACCATTCAACAAATTATACTCTTTGCTCGTAGAAGTGGGTCTTGCTTAGGAAAGCGTGTGTGTGTGTGTGCGTGTGTGTGTGCGCGCGCGCACGCACGTGTGTAAGTGCCCCTCTACAGGGAGGCTGTTACTACAGGTACTGGTTCCTCGGTCCAGAAACCTGGACGTTTAAATATTTAAAAGGGAGGGAGCATGGCTGGTTGGACTCCTTGGGATTGCTATATTCTGTCTTGGCCCTAATTCTAGTTAGAGAATGGCAAGGACTAAACAAAGCCACCAACCTCTGAAAGTCCACTTCAAGGGCATCACGCATGCCCCCAGGACCCCTCTTCCCCAGTGGGGTATGCTTCCTGCACTTCTCCTAACCTCCTCTCTAACCTCTATCTCTTGTTCGTGTAGTAGAGGAATGATGATTCCTTGCCACTGCAGGAAGGT